CTTTAAATGTTACCACATCAATTGGTCTAAATGTTACCCGCGCCTCATGAACCGGGAGATGGTTTTATAATTATCTCCGTCTCTCTCTAACGAACAAAGATTTCTACTGTCTGCTGGTATTTTACATTAGCAAAGGAAACAAGGATGCCTGCTCGAAACACGGGTGCTCAACAGGCTCAGACAAATAAAAATCACAAGTCGTGAGGGTGGCAGAGGTGTTGCCCGTCACCTCTTGGCAAATCGATGCCCGATTTAAAACCTTCCTCATCTATTTCGCCTACGTGCAACTGGGGTTTCACCCTGTTCTCCTCTCGTTCCCTCTATTGCCGATTAACCACCCCTCAAATAAAAACGACTCGTATCCATCTACCCGCACGCGCACGCATATATATGTATATAATATGTAGATCCATAAAACGACGGCAGCCCGTGAAAGTTATGGCCGGGGAGGGATGGGTTTAACGACGAGGCTCCGCTTTAATATTTCCCGTTGTCACAACCCCAAGTGAAATCTCCACTTCCATTTACAAAATAAGCCTGGAAATTGTTGGGCATTTGTTATACTGGAAACAAAAAGCTTTTTTTTTTTTTTTGTTTTTTGCCACCCATTTGAAACGGGGCATCGCGGCAAATGTCACCCCCACCTCCCCGGCAGATTAGCGAGGGGCTCGTTACTAAATCTCTGTCTAATAAAGGCAGAGTTGACTCTGGAGGAGCTGCTGGTTATAACGCTGGCTTTGGAAAATGGAAGGATTGTCACACTTAAAGACACAAATTTCCCCTGTAATATATTCGAATGGAAACCTCTGAATCCAATACTACATGGGCATATCTAATAAATTCACAATATTTCAGCCTCAACAGCCTACAACGGTTAGTTTTAAAGATTTATGTGGTAAAAAATTACTCGGTGATGAATATAGTTTATTCTGTGCAGTATTGGAGGGTATAAGGAATTAAACTACTGTCTTTAACAGTGAATTTATTATTACCTCTGTCAAAGCCAAAGTCTTTAACAGCATTTATTATAAATTTCAGTGCAAAATAAATGGTCAGAGTATGCCTTAAACCTCAGACCCCCCCAGCAGAACCACGTGCCAGCCCAGGAGAAGTTCACGGGCCGGGGGGCAACATCTCAGCAGCCCCCCAAGACCACCAGGGCTGGCATTGGGCTACCATGACCACGGGGAAGGGGCCACCACGTGTCCCTGCCACAGCCACCGCTGCCCCGTGGGGACAAGGGTCACCCACCACGGAGGGCAGGACGGCATGCTTGGAGCTGGCACGGTGCTCAGCGTGGGGTGAAAGCAGCGGGGTTGCAGCAAAATTTGGGATGCAGCAGTGGGGACGTGTGGGTGAGTCCCTGTGGATGAGGCAAAATCTGGGATGCAGCAATGGGGACGTGCGGGTGAGTCCCTGCGAATGGGGCAAAAATTGGGACGCAGCAGCGTGGACGCGCAGGCACTGGGCATCATCGGCGCTGCCTCCCCGGCGCTCGGCCACCCTTTTGTCCTCGCCTGCGATGGGTGTCCCCTCATTTATAAAAATTACCTGGGAGGAATGAGGCTGCCAGGGGCTTGTTCTGGACGATTGGTTCCCGCCGGGGGGGCGAGGGGGCCGGCGGGGGAAGGATGGCCCTCGCTTGAATTTGACCGGTGGGTGACCGTTGCCTTCCAGCTGACCCCGCCGTCCCATCCCCATCCCTCCCAACCCGGGAGCCTCCCAGAGGGGTTATTAATGGGAGTCGAACGCCGCCGAGCCTCGGGAGCCCATCTCCGCAGCGCAGCCCACACCACCGGAGACCTCGGGGGCTGAGCCCACCGCCCCGGGATGTGGCTGCGCGCTGAGCCCCGACCAGGCTCATTACACGATGGCTCCATCACCCGCCAGGTTCAGCGCATCGGGGGGGCCCGTGGCCACCCCCGTGGCCTCTCCCCACGAGCGAGATGGCCCCAAATCCAGGCAAAATGCCACTAGATGTCACCACACGCCTTTTGCTCGGGGTCCGGGGTATGGGAATATGCCCCCCCTTCCCCCCCTGCTTTCATTGAAAGCAATTGAGAGAATTAACTTATCCGGTTTTATGGCCTGCTTGTCACATCCAACTAAGCCCACTTAAAATAGGAAGTCTCGCTGCATTCAAATAATTATCATAACGTACAAATCACTCAGCCAGGGGACAAGGGACCGGTGCCGGGGAAAGGGACACGATGCCGGGGTTTTTGCTGGGATTACTGCTTCCCCCTCCCCAAATTCATTTCCCCATGTGTTAGCCCAGCTGGGCTGCACGGAGCGGGGTAGCGGGGTCCCTGCAAAGCAGGGTGACGAGGTGGGGTATGGGCTCTGCCGCTCGGCCAGCTCCAGCTGTGACCCCCCCGGCCCCCTTATCCCTGTGGCACCGGGGCCCAACAAAGCGCTGGTGGCACTGGGGGTGCGACAAGGAGCCTCCTGCCCGAGTCTGGGGGGACGATGAGAAAAGCCCTTGACAGTGACATCCCCTGGACTCCAGCCATGGCAGCGAAGGGACCGCTCCGAGGAGGGGTGCAGCGGGTGACGATGCTGCCCTCACCCCGGCCAGGACTGTGCACCCCCTCTGCCGCAGGACCCCCCCCCCCCCCCCCGCCCCCGTTCCGGCCCCCGCCAGCCCCCACGGATCAACCACACGGACCCCAGCGTCAGGGCTGGATGAGGCCCCCGGGGTGAGCATCCCTGCGAGCAGCAACAGCAAAGCCTGACCCAGCGGCACACTGCTCCGAGCTCCAACTCTGCTCCCTCTGCAAGGATCCAACCCCGCAGTTGCTCCCAGTTTAATGCTCGTTCCCACTCCGAAAAGCCTTCTGGGGCACTAAACTGGTTGACCTCCCCTCTTCTACAAACCCAGGCAGGTTGTTATCTTACCACGAGCCTCCATTCCTCCTTCTACCACAGAAACGCCCCAAATCTGGGCCCTATGTTTGGGAACATAATTTACAGGGGAAAAGCTCTCAGGACCGATCGGTTACGTGTGAGGAAGCCAGCACAAGAGTCGCAATCTGGAGCCACTGAAGAGAGCGAAAACCCTGCCGTGACTCCAAGCTGTGTCCCCGAGCTGGCGCGGGGGGGACCCAACCCGCTCAGCCATCGGCGGGATGGACTGAGGTGCCGGCAGCGGCGTGGGCACCGAGGGCTGCGGGTATCACCCCCAGGGATGGCTGTGGGTGGCTCCTGGTGTCACCCCCCTGGATAAATGAGGTTATGAGCCAGGGCTGTGGGTTCAGTGCCCAGAGCACGTCAGCCCCGTCCCAGGGGGCAGCGGGTCACTAAATACCACCATAAAGTGCTTTGAGATCCAGAGACGGGGAATTCTCAGCCTTCCAGAAAGGGATGCTGAAGCCCAGACTCAGAGCTGCTCTCTGCTGCTGCCAGGGATGCAGCTGCCTCCGCGAGGACACGCAGGAGCTGGCCTCAAATCCGCATTTTTGTCTGTGCCACACTGGCTGCAGACCTTCGGGGAGGCGGACGGGCAACCGGTGGTCAGCCGCAGCGCCAGCGCTGCCCAACTCGGAGCCTGCAGGAGCGAAGGGCACCCGTGCTGCGGGTCCGGCCTCAAGGGCTCCGATGGATGGACAAAACCTCCAAGGGAGGCCTGACACTGCCACCGCGGCTCTCCTGCCCATCGCTGCGGCGTCTGATCACCCGTGTCCACCCTGGGGACATCCTGTGGCTATCGCCAGGATGCGAAACTAAATCAGATTCTTTTCCTCAGCTATAAAACGTGGCCTTGGTCTTAACAAGCCTGAGACTTGGAGGTGCTCTTCGTCCCCAAAGGTCCGTACCTGCTCAGTTGAGGCACCGCTGCACGCGCTGCCCTTCCCCGCATCGGGGCCGCTTGACCTTCCCCGGGTGGGTGCCCACCAAGGGCAGACGGGGCACAACCACCAAGTTCACCACTGTTCCCATGCCAGACTGGGCTGTAAAGCGCATTGCAAAGCACCATCCACACCATGCAACCCCCCAGGTTCATTGCTGTCCTTCGGGTGCAAAGCGCATTGCAAAACAAAGTACAACCCCCCCAGTTCATCGCTGTTCCTGTACCATATCGGGGTGCAAAGCGTGTTGCAACCCCTCAAGTTCATCGCTGTTCCTGTGCCAGATCAGGGTGTAACGTGCATTGCAAAACACCCATAAAATGCAACTGCCCCAGCTCATCCCTGTCCACGTGCTGTATGAGGGTGCAAAGCACGCTGCAAAACACCATCCACACCATACAACCCCCAAGTTCATTGCTGTCCTTGAGATACAAAGTACATTGCAAAACAAAGCGCAGCCCCCCAAGTTCATCATTGTTCGCCATAGCACGTCGCAAAACAAAATGTAACCCCCCAAGTTCATCATCGCTCCTGTGCCATAGCGGGGTGCAAAGTGCATTGCAAAACATCACCCATAAAACACAGCCACCCCAGCTCATCGCTGTCAACCCCCGTGGTCCGGCGGGGACCAGCTGGGAGCCAGGGCAGAGACCTGCGGGGACGCGCAGGGCTGGGAGAGGGTCACAGGCACTGGTGGCTCTGCTCTTGCCCCCACAGACCCGCTAATGCAAACACTTAATTTATTCACCTGCGTGCACTTGCCGAAGGGAGCCCTGGTCACACCCGGCTGAGCAAGCCAATTACCCCTGTAATACCTGAGCAACAGCACGTACCGACTCCATTACCGTGGAAAAAAAAAAAAAAAAAAAAAAAAAAAAAAAAAAAAATAAAATAATCTTGCTTTGAGGCATTTGAAATGCCATGTGTGAAGGCAGGGGGTATGGGCAGGAGTGGTATTGATGGGGCAGGCACAGAGGGGGGAGCGGGATGCCGCGCATACGCGTGGAACAGGACCCCGGCATCCCGCTCTCCCCTCCACTAAATTCCTAATTTAACTCTGCTTTGGACCTTGATTTTTACCAATTTCATCAGCTCTTGACCTTGCAATTGAGCCCCAGCCCCGCGACAATGAACACGCTGGCGATGCTCTACCTTGCTTAGGATGTAGATGAGGTCTCCGCGGTGGAAGGAGAGCTCGTCGGGATGCTCGCTGCTGCAGTCCCACATGCCTTGGTAGTAATTGGCATAATCTCGCCAGGGACCTCCTGGGGAAAAAAAAAAAAGAGGGATCAGGGTGATAAGGAGTTATATGGGGAAATACAGGGGTTGTGTTGTGGGTGGGGTGTTGGGGGAGAGGGGCTGGTATTTGTTGGGGAAAGGAAGGAAATGGTGGTGGTATTAATTTTGCATTTCAATTAAAAGGCAGAGGCCAAAGAGGTACTGCAAGAAAAAGGGGCTGGTCAATAAAGAAGTGCAGTATCAGTAAATACACATAAACACATTGATAAATGTTTCCGTTTCAGAAGACCCTGAATTAAAGCTGCTTACTACAAACCACAAAGGGAACCAAAGACGCCTTCCCGCTCTCCCAAGCCCCTCATCTCCTCCTCAGGCTCAAACCAAGCTGTCCCCGAGGTGGACACCCGTAACCGGGTCAAGAGGGGACATGGGGCACCACCGCCAGCTCTGCTGGGCAGTGTCCCCACCACGGTGACAGCCGTGCCAGAGGCCGTGGAAGAGGAATACTGTTAATTAACAGGGGTATTTGCACGGGGCCTCCGGGAGGATGCTGCTGGGAAGGTGACAGCCAAGTTTATTTATTAATTAAAGAAGCCAAGGGATTGCAGTCGATGGAGCAGGGCCTGCTCAGCCAGCAAACAGCACCGGCTGCTCGACTGGGAGCACCCGGAGCAGGAACAGGGATGGGACGAGAGCAGGGAGCAAACATCTGCCTTCACTCCCCATTCCCGGGAGGTCAGAGAAGGTCCCAAACCTTCTACGGCATGATACAACCTGATAGCTCAGGTCCCGATCTTCCCATCGAGCTGTGAGTTTGGGAAGGCAGAGCCTTTGCTCGATGCCTGTGATCACAGTCTGCTGCAGAAAGGGAAGGCAACGTGAGCCAGCAAACTCTTTTTTTTCCCTTTTTTTTGGGGAGTGAGGCAAATAATGATCTGTTTGCTGAAAGCCATGGGTTTGGGCTGATGAGACTGTTGGCAAGCGGCGCCAAGGCTGGGGACCGCCCTGGGCTAAATGTGTGCGTGGGTTTTCTGGAAAATGTCACAGCAGCATTTCCAGAACGAAACATTTCCATCTTTGCCTTCTCAGAATGGCATTTCCCACCCCAGAAACTGGCCCAGAGGCCAGAGCCACCATGATAGGTGGGTCACCGCTGCGGGGGCAGAAAGCATCCCGCCGTGCAATGGGACCAGACGAGCCTGATGCCAAGGTCTGGCAGAGCCCCACGAGCAGAGGAGATGCTACTCTGCCCAGTTTGCAGGCTGGGGAAGCGACTTGTCTCAGCACATCCAACAGACCCTTCACAGCATCAAAAAAACACCCAAACCCACCCAGATTCCCAGTTTTCAAGCACAGAAGACAACAGTTAAAACATGCTCCTGGACCAAAGGCTTCAGGCAGGAGACTGCTCTGATGGCACAGCACCAAGGTGGGGGTGAATCCAGATGTCACGACACGGACATCTCCATGATGTGACCCCCATGGCTAATTAAACCCAGTAAAACCACATTCTGCAGGGGGGGGATTCGAGCACCGGGGCTGTACCAGCGCTCTGTGCTGCTCTGCCACGCGGCTGAACCAAGCCCAGAAAGCATAAATAGAAAATACCGAGCACATGTTGGAGGAAATGTTTCTAATATGGTATAAGGGACCGAGTGATAAGGGTGCATCTGGAGTACTGTGCCCAGATTTGATCACCTAAATATGAAAAAGGACATTACAGAGATGGATAATGGCACAGCAGGGAGCAACTGGAATGACTCAGGGACTTGGGGAACTTAAATAGAAAGGCTGGGAAAAAAAAAAAAAGTAGGTCTGCATCCTTTGGAAAGATTAAAGGGGGAGCACACAGTGGTGAGGAAAAGATTGTGAAGGGAATAGAAGGAGTAGGAGCTACTGAGTTATTTAAGCTTGTGCTAAGTGCAGGAACCAGAGGTTATGAACTGGAGGCAGAGGAAATATCAGGGCGTGCAGGCGCTGAGCAGGAGGACGAGGCGAGCAGCAGCTTTGGTAGGAGCCAGCAAATTGTGTGATTAACAGAAAAGGTCGTTACGGGAGGGTGCGAGGACAACACTGCGATGCGGAGAACAACCCGGTACGGGGGGACAGCACTTGGCACCGACCCGCTGGTGTCCCCTGTGAGACGAGGCTGGGGAAAGGCTGCTCCGGTGGTATCTAAAATACCAGTAATTCTATGGAGCATCAGCATGAATGTGCTGGCAAAGAGATTCAAACCTAGCGACCCCCTACATCAGCCCCTGCTCCTCTCAGAGATCTGCTGTGCCACCAATGTATTGGGAGGGGAAGAGGGTTGGGGTTGAGATAGAAAATGCATCTTCCTCCAAGACGTTTCCAGAGCCAAAAGTGCCCACTCGCCGCCCGGAGCTCCCCCGGGACAGGGACCCGGGCGTCTGCTCGCTCGCACGGAGGATGCTGCCGGGAAGCTGGACTCAGCCTCGTCTCAATTGTCCCTCGTTTACCAGGAACGCTTGGGAGGTGCCTCCCTATCCCACATCTGCTCTTTCCTGCTTATCAAAGGAACAAGAGGACCTCGGAGGCATCTGGCCACCCTGTCAAGGAGCGGAGAAAGGAGAAGCCATTGGTAAAACAGAGATTTGCAGAAGCCATGCGCGTGAGCCTGGACATGATACTCCGCGAGTACAAAGGGAGAAAATTTTCCAGCCCACAGGAAGATCCACGCTCCCAAAAGTTTGGCTATTTTTTGCAACTATGTCAGCTGGTTGGGGGGGAGGGAGCTCAGAATTAATTGCATCAGACGAGGATGATGCCTCACGATGAAAGCGCGGTCAGGCTCCACACTTAATTCCCAGCCGCAGCTTCAAAAGCAACAAAGATGTTTGTGCCAGCTACCAAGCATATCTTGTTAAAATTAAGACCGTTTGCAGAAAAGGGACCCTGGCACCCATTTTAGCACTTAAAGATAAGGCCAGGCAAGGGAGAACTTCACTCTGCAGCCTCCGCAGGGGACGGTGGACGTCCATGATCCTCCCGACCTGCCAGCTCCAGGCTGGGTGGGATGGGCGTCAGATCCAGACAAACCATCCCAGGACTCCCGTGTTACCCTGCATTAATTCTGCTCACTTTTACAGAAAAGAGGTTTTGTTTAAAAAGCCCCAGTGCCCCGTCTAGGCATTTAAATCTGCGTTCAGGGCAGAGCCGTCATTTCAGTGCGACTGATTTACACTGATGTAAGTGGGACGAGAGCCTGCTCCCATGTTTATGGGCCTTGGGGTCATTAAGAAAACCAGCCAAATGTGACAATCGCATCATTTTCTTCTGCAGCCTGAGCAGCCCCAAGCACGGGCTGTGGGAGAGGCACGATCCGCCCCAACCCCTTTGCTTCGGGCATGTTGCTTCAGAAGCCTGTTGACACTGAAACCTAATGACAACCATCTGCAGCTCAGGGGTTTTCACTGCTGTGCTCATACTAGGTGAAACCTCCTGCCACGCTAAGTGCAGAGGACTGTGACAGGAGGCAGGCTGCGAGGCTTTTTTATTTTCGAACTAGAGGAATTTTGCTCTGCTTGTATTCAATTGGGAAGCTCGCACTGCAGCAGCAGCCCCGAAGCCCGTCCAGCACAGAAGGCAGGGATTAAGCAGCCTTGAGCGGAGCAAATGGGTGTCTTGGCAGGAGCAGCCTGAAGCTCTCAGCTGGATTTACTGGGCTGCTCCAGCATCGTGGCTTCCTTGTGGTTCTTAGAAATTAGAAACAATAGTTTTCCATTAGCCAAATGCTCATCTGGCACTTTGGCCGTATGATATAATTAAGAAATAGCCCCTTCCCTCCCTCCCTGCAGCCCGGCCCTCTGCTCAAGGACTCCCGTCATCTCTTCCTTGCCCTTGGTCCAGTTGGACAGAAGCACAAATTACCAAGGCAAAGGCACGAGGGCTGCTGTTCCCGGCGCTGCGATAACCTTTCCCTCTTGAAATGCAGCCCAGCCTTTCCGAAGCAAGAGTCTAATATATGATTTAGTGTAAAAACAGACACAGGACTTAAAGCAATCATGACAATGCTAATAACTAAACCAGTTATAACGATTAACAACAATTACAACCGCCAGGCAGATGATAATGAGTACGAGCAGGGTGTTTAAATGGCTGGCAGGGCTGTGACAGGCGAGAGCCAAAATCCTCGGGGTGGCCTTGGGGTGCAGGTTCATCATCACCTCCAGCACCAGCCTGCCACAGAGCTGTGCTCTGCACCCCCCGGACTCCCACCCCGAGCTGGAAAACACGTGAGGGAGCTGCTTTTCTGCCACCTGGTCCTTTGGATGTTTAAATGCTGGGGCAGTTGTGAAAGGCAAAGAAAAACGTGTGCGTGCGCGTCCCATCACCTCCTGCTTTCCTTACCCTGTGCTGGGAAGCCTACAGGAAAAGCACGCGGTCCCGCTTTATGACCACAGTACAGATTATGAAGATCGGGATGTTGTTTTTTCCAAGCTCTGGGTGCTGGTACCGGCTGCAGCTGCCCCATGGGCCAGTGGCCCAATAAGTCATCGTGCTGGGGGGTGGGAAACAAGCTCCGCAAAACCATGGGGAGTGGAGAAATGCTGACTTGCTCCGGTCCCTGCAAGCAGCTGGGACTCAACCCTGTCTGTGCTACCGAGATTTCGGTAGAAACAGGCCTGAGCGCCCTCCTGGGCTGGGGACAACTGCCCAGGAAACATCCAAGGGGGGGGGTGTGTTGGCCAAAGGGCTTCTTGGATGTTGGATCTGGCTTTTCAGAAATGCCAGGAAGATGGGCATGGGGGCTCTCGGACCACTGGGAGGGGTAAACCAGCTGAGCAATGCTTGGGGTGCTCATGCATTCAGGAGAGCCCAAGCATGCATGAGGCTGGTTTAGCCACGCGCCATCCACAGCATCCAACACCGAACCCCTCCGGTCTCCATCACCCAACAAGCAGAATGCTGGCTGTGGGTCCTCGGGCGGGCAGGCACCCTGCGAGTCGGGCATCACTGGGGTGAGACCATCCCCTCCAAGCTCCGGGAAGCTCTCCCAAGCCAGGCTTTGCCAGGAGGACGTGTTTTCCCATGCGGCGAGGAGCGAGCGGGGCGGCAGGAAGCCCTCAGCCAGTCCAGCCCCGGCTGCTCAGACACAAGCGCTGCTTTCCTGCGCCGGGGCGGAAGCGGCGATGGAAAGCAAAGCAGGTGGGATCGGGGAGGAAACAGATCTTCCGCTCCTGTCCCACAGTGCAGGTCCTTAAGGAAAAAGCAGGGGTGGGGGCCCTGGCGACCATGGCAGGCTCTTGGGCTGCCGGTTCCGGGCGGGCGGCGCTGGATCCTGGGGTGGTGGTGCGCGTCCTTCCGGCTTCCCGCGCCGAGATCCCTCCCTGCGGTGGCTTCCTCTGGGCCAGGACTTGCTTCCTGCCTTCTCTCCAGGCTGTTTCTGCCCCAGCTCCTCTCCCCAGCCCCTCGGGATGCACCAGGAGGGCTGGCTCCCGCTCCGTGGTCCAGGATGGGATGAAGGACAGGGATGGGTGTGCCTCCATGGGAGGTCCATCAGCACACAGATCTCATCAGGCAGGAGAGGGGATGGATGTTGGGGCTCCTCCATGGAGAGCTCGCTAAGGCCACCCTCCATGGGGTGCCTGTCCAAAAAGGAGAGGCATCCCCCACACCCGTAGCATGGAGAAGATGGGGAGAGCTTCCCAAGCTTGAGTTGTCTGAACTTCACCAGTTGCAGAGTCTCCACTGTCACCCATCAGTCTGCTCTTGGGGACCCTCCCATCCTCCACACACCCCTCCATCACCACTTGACGCTCAAAGGCGGCCGGACTCAGACCCCCCAGCCATGACCTGGAGGCCCTCTGGGTTGCCCAAAGTAGGGTGGGCTCTTACCGCTTCTCTGTCTGCTCCCGGCATCCTCGCTGTCCTCTGGGAAGGGGGGGTCCAGCTCCTCATCTGGGGGGGAAACAGAGCAGAGAAGTCAGGGGAAGGGCTGTGAGCGTCACTGCTGCACCAAACCCCCAGGCAGGCAGAGGGCTGCGAGAGCATCCGACTGTCAGAATAATAAATTCCCAGCTTAATTGTGAAGAGTGGGAGGGAGGAAGTCACAGATAATATTTTAAAACGTGTTGCATAAAAATATGAATTGTTGTTAACACCGGTAAAAACAAATCACTTATTATAGGCTCATAAATTTAGGCAGCACTTTGCTGAGTGCCCTATAGGAAGAGATGCTTCCTGTGCAGGACTCGCAGCCCAGAGAAAATGAGACGTCGAGGAGAAATGCCAGGACAGAAATGTGAGGAAGGATGGGGGACAGAAGCAGAAATTAAGGAGGAGAAAGAAGACCCCAGGCAGCGGAGGGCAGGCAGGCTGGCACGGCTACGGAGGGGGGGGAAAGAGGATGCAAGACAATAATAAGAAATGATACCGTGGAAAAGGTTAAGGACAGAGGGGCTGGAAGTCACAGGGAAGCCCTGTGAAAATGGCTAGTGACTGACAGAAGCAAGGATCTATATACAAATAAGTTTAAATACGATTATTTATCACCGAGCCAGGTACAACCCATCCAGCCTGAGCTGCTCTGGGTGCTGGGGTGAGTCGGGTGCACAGCACCCACATTAGCTGCCATCACAGCCTTCCTTCTGCAACCATAAAGACTAGAAGCAACCTAATAAAATAATATAAATAAAACTTGATTCTGAAACGTTTCAGAAAGCCAATGCTCAGGCAAACTGCTCATCTGCACCTCTTCCGCTGCCGCTGGCAAAGGGCTGCTGGGGAGTGCGGGGCAGCCCTGGCGCGGCTGGGCCCGGTGCAGAAGAGATGTCCCTGTTGCATCTCAGGGGACATGGCTTTGCCGTCACCTTTAGGCAGAGCCAACAGAAACCAAGCCTGGGTCTTCTGCTGATCCCACGGCACCCGATCGCAAGGCAGCGAAGTGCTGCTGCTGCTGCTCGGCTCTTTCGGAGGACGCGGCCCCAGCCCCAGCCGTCTCTGCCACTCGGCGCTAATCAATGCAAACCAGGTCAGACCTCCGCTGCCAATTACAAATTGCATCCCAAGTTGGAGGGTCACTGCAACTGCTCCCCCATTAGACGGGAAGCAGCACCAAAGATCTTTTCTAAATAAATCAGACTTTATTGTAAAACTCGGCCACTGACGAGACAGAACCTCATTAACATTGATTTTAAAATAAATTATTGAAAGTGGCTTTTGCCTGCTCTTTGCATTTGTAAAAGAGAACATAAATGTATTTGTTACAGCACTCTCCCCCATGATTCCCACGCACACGCCCCAAACCCTCGCATCTGGATTCCTTTATACTTTAACCAATGGCACTAAATCCCCTAATCCCATCTTGGCACGAGGTGGAGGGCGATCAAACCATCTCCCGTGCCTGTGCGCCATGAAAACCCCAGAGCCATCCTCCAAAGCGGGGCAGCATCGATTCCCCACCGCTGTGGGTGACACCTGCACCCAGGGGCTCCCCACGGCCACCCGCACCTCCTGTCCGTGCTGCGCACACCCCTCTGGCTCGCATCCGTGCCTGCATCCTGCAGGCACTGCTTCCATCCCAGAGCCAGCCTGTCCTCAGGAAACCTCTTCCCAGAGCCCTTCTCGCACCTCCCGGCACGCACACATGCTCCTTGGGAAGTGTCAGCCGGTGCTGGCGCAGGAACATACGTGCCATGGAGGAAATGCTGCCGTGGGGTTTCCAAGATGAGCAAAGCTGCATGAATCCTGCACACGGTGGGGGCTGGCACTGCCGGCTCCCCGCCCGGCTCCCTGCCGGGATGTGGTGCTGGGCAGTTGTGGGTGCCCCAATGATCCTGCAGAGATGTATCTGTCCTGCTTCCTCCTCATTTTCCTGGCTCCCACTCCCCAGATTGCAGAGCTGGTTCCCCTTGCTGGCACAGCTAATGGGGAGTCACATTTACAGCCCCTAACGAGCCCAGGCAGCTCTGTGGGCCCATAGAGAGCTGCTGCTCCCCCACATCCTCGCTCTCCGGGAGCCAGGTGAGGCTGCCAGGCAGGGGCCAGGGAGGCCTTCCAGAGCAGCTCCCTCTCCTTGTCCCACCTTGGGCCATTTTATTCCATATTTGATGGAACACGGTATGTTCGAACCAGAAATCAAAGCCACGGACCCTCTCCCTGTTTGCATCACCCACCTGAGACACCAGACAGGCAGCCGACTGCTCCACGGCTTGGACAAGGTGCTCTCCTGTGTCTCAGTCCTCTGTGCCTCAGTTTCCCTTTCTTTAGAAAGCCCCTGCCCTGCTGACCACTCACTCTGTACCTTTTGCAAAAGGTGCTTGGTGGAAACCCCCTGGCGATGCCCGGTCCCTGCTCTGCCCGGCGCGCTCAGGGCTGGCCGCCCCGCAGCAAGCTCTTGGAGGCTGATGGGCTGTGATGGACGGAGCCTTTGTGGAAGGAAGGGAGGAAACTCACATGGGATTTTTCTCAGGAAAACGTGGTGGGGAGGCAGCAGGCTGGCGTGGCTTCCCCTCGGCCGACAGCAGCCAGCTCCGCTCGCCCTCCTGCATCCCACCTTCTCCCACAGCACTGCAGCAGGGCCAGCTGCAGCCTCGCCCTGCCCACAGCATGGGTGCAGACGCCCTGGGACGGCCGTGGTGAAGGTCCTAATCCTGGGGTGCTGCTGAGCCCTGCCTGCACCATGGCTCGCGCCGCGGCACGCTGGCCCCAGGCACGGTCCTTGCAGATTTTGAGCTGTGCAACTCACGAACGGGCCCGTGGGGACGTGACAAGCTCCCCCCCACACCGCAGCCCTGCGGCCTGTTGCAGCCAGGTGCTTTTCCAAGTCAAGTCTGGAAGTGATGCTCTGCCTTCCCAGGGCCTGAGTGTTTGATCTCGGCCAACATCTGGATTTTATAGCAATGAATCAGAGGGAAATGCTGAAAAATGCATCTCCCGGGGGCTGTGCTCCTTCCCCCTATGCTGCCTCCCTGTGTGGAGCATCACAGCCTCGGCCACACCACTCTTGGGAAAACGCCTTTACATCCCCGTGGGCAGCCCCTGGCGCCCACACCCGGGGTCCAGAGCCCCACAGCAGCCCCCGGCCCCGGGCACAGCCGGGGAGCCGTGCACCCCACCGCTGCACCGGAGCAGCCTGGGCGTTGGGCAGATTCTCAGAGGAGCTGTGTTTTAATGTAGCAATTTGATTCAATTTTCCACTCTATAAAATTACCCATCACTGCTCGTTGCTTCCTAACAGACACCTTCACTCTTAATTTAACAATCCTATCGAATTCTGCCAGGGAAATTGGAAAAATTTATCACCTGTGAAATTTTATTTTTCCTTGGTTGTATCTGTTTTTGTAAAACTTCATTAACAACGATGACTTGCTGAGGAAATTATCTCTTCATCTCCCCCCCTTTCTTTTTTTTCCTCTCCTCCTTTCTCTCTCGATTTTCACTCGAGACATGAGGGAGGCAGCCGGGCCCAGAGGAGACCCCAGCTCGGACGGGGACTTTCCCTGTGCTTGCTGGGAGGTCCCAGGGGTGCGAAGGGCCAGGGGGGATGAGCTCGGGGCAGACCAGACCTCTCCTACCTGCCCCTGAGCCCTGCAACTGGTTTCTCACCACTGGGCATCTGCCTCTACAGCAACCTGCCCCCACCACCTCCCTTCAAGCAGGCAGGGAACTGAGGTGTGCGGGGGGTGAGAGGCTTGCCCAGGTGGGAGAGCTGTGGCTTTGCTTCCCGCTGGCAGCGTCCCGCAGGGTGTCCCAGCTGCGTCCCCGTGCATCGGTGCGACTCCAGCCGCGGGCTGCAGGCAGGATGCTCGAGAGCAGAGGCGATGTGGGCAGAGGCAGCTGTCCCACAGCCCCTGCCTGCACCTCGGCTCAGTGCAGCTGTGATGCTGGGTGCAGGAGGCTTTGGCCGAACCCCAGGGACAGCAGTCTCTGCATGGCAGCAAAGCCCCCAGGATGCCCATGCACCGGGGCCGAAGGGTACTGCAAAAGTCCTGCTAAAGCAAGGGGCTTCAAGCCTGCTGCGTGCAGGGCTTGGGCTGGTGAGCAGCCCCAGACACAGCCCTTCGGGCTGCCTTCAGAACCTCTTAGCAAGCTTTTAAGAAGCTGGGATGGGCAGGACAGGGGGCACAGTAAAAGCCCATAATTAAAGGAAGGGTTTGGCTGGGATGTTCCCTCCTCCACCATGATGCTCTGCAGCCCCAGCATCAGGGCATGGATCCGTGCGTGGGAGCAGGAGAGCAGCATCCGTGGGAACCGAGGGTGAACCTGGCTGGCAGGGTCTGCTCCAGTGCTTTCGAGACACTGCAACCCAGAGCGGGGCAACGGAGGGGTCTGTCCCTAAATCAACCCTGCGCAAGCTCCTAGCAGGATCACCATTAGCCACATGTGGAACAAACCTCACATCTAATATCTGCTCTGCAGTCGCAAGGCAGCGAGGAGTCGGGCACAGCTGCCAAAGCAGCCAGGGATGCTGAAAGCCCTGGGCCTGACGGACCGTCAGCACTTCACACACACCAGCCTGGGGACCCCAGCGCGGAGGCTCCTGCTGAGCTCAGGGATCACTGGAGGTACACCCGGAGGAAGAGAAAGCTCTGCCCAAAGAGCTGAGGATGTAAACAGAAGAAGGGAAGGTCAGGAAGGAAAGACGAGAGATGGACAGAGGCTGAGGCTTCGCTCAGGAAGCCCCAGAGCTCCCGCTCCACTCCCAGCAGCTGCCTGGATGCCACTTGCAGACCGCTGAGCAGAGATTTCCTTTGGCAGCCATAACAAGACAAAGATCTTGGGCACCGTACAACTTTCTGGTGCATTTAATATATTTTTTTTAATCACTACAAATAGAAAGTTCTGAAATAAATAAGAAGAAACAAAAACAAGAGGCAAGATTTTGCATCTCTGAACGCAGGCAGCAAGGTACCCTGCTCTCAGGGATGGGGTGCAGAGAGCTGGGTGATCCCAACCTCAGCGCAGAGGCAGAACAGCACCCGTGTTTGAATAAGGCGCAGGTGACCTGTTGACCGAGGCCTGGGGCATGTCACACCATGATTTCTGCTGTAACAGTAAGAAATGTTGCAGACCGTGTCACCCTTACAGGCTGTTTGGTTCTGTGCCAGGAAGATTGCTCCCGGCTCCTTTAACTGGCAGTCGCTGCCCTGCTACCTCCAGACCTCGTGCACTGTTAGTGAACAAGCGCTAGTCTTTAATGCAGTTATTTTATCATCTCTTGGAAGGCCAGTAATTGTGTTACAGCCATGACTGCATGCCCAGAAGGGAGCATTTTCATCATCTAAAGTCTGATTTTCCAGGTAACACAGCCCAGAGATTCCACTCTCACCAAACTTAATATTACTCGAGCTGAACGGAGCACAACCTCTAAAAGCCGCTTCACCTGAATTCACAAACCCTCTGCCTCACCAGAACAGAAAGGGTTTGTTCTTGTGGCCCCTCAACCAGTCTCAACAAAGAAACGGGCTCAAACCTTCGAGTTATGGGTCTGTTAAACTCAGCAGAGCCCCAGATGTTCATTCCCATCAATGTGTGATGAGGCCAAGGTCTCCTGCCATGTTTGCAGGGCTAAGGCTAGGGGATGGCTTGGGTCTTAACCTGCTTATTTGGTTGCTTACCTGGCAAAACCTCATAGATGTCATCCTCTTCCACCTCAATGTTTGGCTCATCCTGATTCAGGGTAGTATTGTGGGATGCTGTGTTCACAGAGTCAGAACTGTCCACGTCATTGTAGGGATCCTCATCATCCTCATCACACGGGATAGTGAGGGAGCTCAGGTCTGGCAGGAGAGAGCAAAAGCACGGTGAAAAAGAGCAAATCAAAGCACCAGCTGGATGCTGGTACTTTCAGTGAGTTGAAATCAAGTAACAAAGCCTGTGCCACTGTACTTTGTGCTCACTACGGACCTTGCAGGGAGTGAACCGTCCCCTTGCTTGGCCCAGGAGCACCTGGTGTAAAGAAAATGGGATGGAAGCTGAGAATAGGCTAAGCCAAAGGAAAAGCCCAAGGAAGGATGGCAAATGACAGACGACAAAGCCAAATTCAACAGGTGCCTCAAGGAACTGGGTCTGATCCCATTCCTGGGAAGCTGCCTATGGTTTCCAGAGGGTTTCCATACGCAGGGCTGGAGCCTTGTCTCAGCATTGCTGGCCTCAAATCGGAGCAACTCCAGTGGAGCCAAACCCCATCCTTCATCAGCCAAGGGCAGAACAGCAGATCTGCAACCCCAGCAGTGAGGAGCAATTCCCACCCTTTGCTTGTCCCACTTGGTGACACTTGCAGCCTTTGAGAGATCACATAACTCTATCCTCTAAAAGCAGCCAAATGCTCTTGAGTTTAAACCAAATGCGTGTGGGCTCCAAACAACCACTTCTTTTTAACCGCCTGCTCGAAAGAGCAAAGCCCCAGAACCTCTCTTTTTGCTAAGAGGGGATGCTGGGACCCCAGCAAGGACTTGGCAATGAGCACAAGCCCACCCATCGCGGGAGGGAGCCGCCCGAGCTGGGTGGGAAGATGCTGCCAGGATCTGCCCAAACAAACAGGGCTTGGACCACGCTGCCAGACTCACCCTTCAGGAGGAACTGGATCTGATCCACCCAGTCTTCAGCCTCTGCTGGGCTTGGGGCTGTGAACTGGAGAGAGGTTCACCTGTTATCATGCTGGTTCTTGTTTGTAGGAAGAGGAAAAAGATTTGCAGCTAGAATAGGGGACAGAGATCCTGGATCTGCCATTCTCTACCCTGTGACTTTGGGAAAGCCACTTCACTTCTTTATCTCCCTATTCCAAACAGGGAAACAGAAGCGGAACAAAGCTAGACTATCCCAGAGGAAGGCTGTCAAGCCTAATTCATTAAAATAATTCAGATGAAAACCACGATCCCCGCTGAATATACTATACTGACTCTGAACCAAGACTCTACATCCAAAATCTCCCTGAAGCTCAGGTAGGCTCTCATGCACACTTTGTGGACTGGGACAGGTTTTTCATTACATCAGTTTTTAGGCTCCCCCCGGATGCTCAACAAATTGAAGGTGTAAATTTAACCTGGCTCCGAACTGCTTATTTTAAAATGGGCTTTGCAAACCCAATCCTCTGCTGCTTCTAACCCATGTTCTCACTTAATCCTTGTGTTCCCCAAGTGCTAAGAGAGCCCAGGATCACTCTGGTGCCAAGGGAAGGTCCACGTTGAGATGCCTTGCCAAGAAGGAGAAGCATCGGCACCTTCTGCAGTGCTGCCTGGTTTGTTTCAGCAGGGGGTTTGGAGATGCACAGCCTCCCTGACCCTGCAGGTCCAGCCTGCACCCAGACCTGGAAGCGCGTGCTTTTGTGCCTAGGCTCAGACCAGCACAGAAGGTCTGTTTCGTCCCCCAGTTCCTACCTCGTAGGTGCGTTTGCCAGGGCAGATTAACTCGAAACAGCATCTTTTTCGAGCGTCTTTGCGGAGATGGAAAGCCAGCCGGGCACTGTAGTGCTCAATGGGGAAAGTGCCTTTAGGTTGCTTGCCTGGAAGAAGAGAAACACGCTAAATCTGGAGTTTACATCTTTTTATCAAGTTCACAGTACTGCTGGGGGGTGCAGATGTCTCTTGCCCACATAGGGAAACCGAGGTACGCCACGTGTCAATGGGAAATGGCCAGAAAAAAGCCTTCAATCTAAGCATGTCCACCCCCAGGAAATCCAAAGGGAATATTATAAAATCTTCATAAAGACACAGTAAGGAGGATGCCCTTTTAAGTCTCAAGAGATTGCGAACAGCCAGCAAAAGGTTGCCAGGGTCATGAGGCTGCACGAGATGAGCTGGTTGTAATGAAGCAGAGACCACTGTGTACTTGGGGAAATATGATACCAATGATTATTCTGCTGGTAAGGCATTAGCGGGCTGGCGTACAGGAAGAAATACTTAGTGGGGCCTTTGAGAATTGGCCTACAGATCTTGCCGATGCACACGCACGGCCGGTGTCAGCCAGGGTGGAGAGAGGGAACTTCGCCGCAGTCATCTGAGGCGTCTTTATTTACCCCAGCTCATTATTTCCTTATGAATCTTCTTGAGGAAGCATGGAAGTACGATTCAGGCAGTTGCTCTTAACCTTTTTTTGATTTGCAGATCCTTAAAAAACTTCCAGGGGTGAGGTCAAGCCCTATATAAGGATTTCAGCCCATCAATAACAGGTTTGCTTTACTCTGTTGTCTTCTGGAGATGGTTTGGAAGAAGACAACTGCTCATCCCCCACAGAAACAACCAAATATCAACCCTTGGCTTCAACACCTACCTCTGCTAGCAGCTCGCTGGGAAAGCCCGAGCAGCTCATACCCCTGCACGTACCCTGCCAGGGTGAGAGGAGTTGGGAAGCTTGTGCGGAAACAAAAAGGGCTCAAGACCCTCAGACAAAGGATGTGGAAGAAGGACAAAGACCCAGCTTCGTCCTCATGACCCACTGGGGTTTAATCCTGTCCTAGCTGCAGAGTGGTCACCGTAAACCAAAGATGTACGTGTGTATTTTGTAAGTCGTTTCGATGCCGTGTTTCTGGATGGGTGGAACAGAGGAAGGCCATATATCTAATCGTGCCAAACTCTGTTGGAGATATTAGCTGTCTGTTTATATGTACCTGATGGAGCATGACTGCAAAGTATTTATATACACTGACACATGGATTATATACAGTCACTTAGGGGGTTGGAGCCCAGCTGATGGCTAATGGAAAACCTGGTACATCATTTTATTTACACACAGCTCTGTTCCTGTGTCTCTCTTCTCTTGTTCCATACCTATAAAGGTGTTGGGGGGAGGGGGGGGAAGCAAAAGCAAGCTGAGATCTACCTTTCTAGGAGAACCTGCATGTTATGCCTTGATAGGGAACTACAGCCCTCCCAAGGTCCATGCTTTTCTCTTGTCAGATATTAGCCTGTCCTTCAGCAAGGGCTCTCCCGTTCTCTTTTCCAGCCCTGCCCATGCCCTCAGCCACCACCCACAGTTTGGGGACCAGAGGCAGATATCTCACCACTTACTTTTCTCATTGGCGTAGTAGTAAAAGGTCCTTTTGCTGAGGACGCACCACCGCTTCTGCCACTCTGACCCGAAAAAGCTGTGCTCTAGAAAGAAAAGGATGGCAAAAGAGTAAAAAATATTCATTTCTGTTCTTTCATTGTATGCATCAGATGACTATTTAGGGGAAAGAAGAATTTTTTCCCAACAAAATCCTGCAGATTTCTGGCAAAACCTCAACCAAGTAAGGGAGAGCCAGCCTGTCCTACCAGGCCAGAGCCCCTGCAAGCCTGCCCCAGCTCTCCGAGCTGAGCTGCTGTGACCCTTAGTCCTGCTAACCAGGAGGGAACACAACTTTGGGTTAAACCTCCCTAATTGAGGTTTAAGCAAATGTCTTTTACTCTGTAATTGGAGCAAGCAAAAACATGCACAGGGCCAGTTACACAGCTCAGCTGATGGCCATGAGGAAAAACGGGCTGTTCTTGCCTCATACCACCTGTCATACAGTAAATAAATCAAGATAAAATCTGAGTGATGAGGAAATAATTTGTAGCTTTCACAAGAGTCAGTAAAATCAAGATAAACCTGAGGCTGACTCACAGTCCTTATCTCAACTGGCTAATGTGTGTGATGCTACGAACTACCTTGTCTTCACCGGGATTTTATCCTCATTAGGTATTGCTCGTTAGAAGGGCACATCTTGCCTTAGAGGACTGGGCTGCTGCTTAATTCAATTTCTGGGTTTTAATCTTTGTGCAGTTTGATGATCTGCAAAAGAGAATAAATAAAGGCTGTGCCCTCCCTGTGTGTATGATGCCTATGAAAAGCCTGAAAGATTCTGCCTGCGCCTACAGATAAATCTGCAGAAAAGATGTATTTTCCTGTTTGTTCTTCATCTGAAATCTTGCATTGTTGGTAATTCTGAGGTGACATCCCCAAACCTTATCTTATGATCTCCTTGTCAGGCCTTACCTCGGGACCTCTTCTCCAGATATCCTTGCTTCAAGATGTTCCCTGTGTCTTGAATAGGCTTTGGTGTGAATTCTTCCAGTCCTACAGAGAGCAAAGCAAAGCTTTGGGATTTCCCATGCGCACAAGCCCTCAGCACAACGTTTTCAGCCCCCTTCTCTGCAGAAGAGGCTTGGGAAGGCAGAACAGCAGCTGGAGGTGAAAATCACAGTCTATCATGATCTCGCCAGCTATTCCCAACCCTGGTTGCAGGCTCCCAGAAGTCCTCCAGGGAACCAGGACCAGGATTCACATGGCTACAGAGACCTGCCCTCAGCGGGCTGAGGCTGGTGCTGCTCTGGGGGTTGATGCTCAGCCCTGTACCCCCCAGCCAAGGCTCTCTGGGTCCCTGGGAGCCGTTGGCAGCAGGCAGGATCCCGCCAGCTTTATCGACTTGGAAAACCCAACCCCCTTGTCCGATGTCTGGTCTAACCCGGACCACGGCACCTCACCCCGGGCCGGTGGCCGGACCCTGCGGCCACAGAGGGGCTCTGGCACTGCATGAGGCGATGTCCACATCTCATCCCCAAAACCGTCAGGGCCGGGACATCCCCAAAACCGTCAGGGCCGGGACATCCCCAGGCCGTGGCTTGCTGCTGAGAAGGTCTTGCCCTCCTTTCCTGCTCATCTCCTGCCATTATAGCTTGTACTAAAACACAACAAAAAAAAGCCAACTAAATGCCACTAATCACCTCCCCAGTGCCCAGCCTTGGCAGCCTTTTCAGTATGAATAACTTCCCAGAATCCCAGGTCAAAAGAGCTTCTCTCGTTTTCTTAGCGTGTCTCGCTAACACCCAGCACTCGGCCCAGTCCACCCCCCGTCACCTCCCTCACTCACGGGGTATTTTCATTTTTGTGTTTTATAGTTTGCAAACTCTGGGCTCGCTATAAATTCTCCACAAATGGGTCCCGGGGCAAAGAGCAGACAGAAAGACACACAAAGTTTGGGTTGGTGGAAAGGCTCCCCTAGGTCTGTCTCCTCTGTTGGCTGGAAACCGGATCCTTCAAAGACCAAATCCTCAGCTTGTGCAAAGTTGTCTGGGGTGATTCAGATTCGGGGAAGCCCGGGATGCTGTGGGATTGCCCCTCTGCAATGCCTGGAGGACACGGACAGCCCCTTCCCGCCCAGAGAAATCTCCTTTCTCTCCAGCACCTGCTCGGCACAAACGTGCTCAGGCTTTTCTCTAGCAACACCGAGCATCTGACTTGTAAAAAGGCACGTTGCCTTCTCAAATCCAAGCCCCGACCCCTTTTGCTAATGCAAATCTAAATGTCATTTTATGGGACATTTATAATTATGAAAATGGGACGGTGCTGCCGGATGCACAGGGAGACCCTGAGAGTATGAATATTACATTAATGTGCCCAATGCCAGCTCTCTGATCCCGCTGGCAGCAGCATAAAAAATGCTTGAGTGAAACTTTTATTTAGACGTTAAGAATCCAGGCCCCAGCGGGGTGACAGAGGCAGCCCCGGTGAGATCCCATCAGCGCGAGCGCTCGAATTGAATTACCCAGGGGGGAAGGCAGGAGCTGCGAGTGCTGTTTCGCTTATTTAATTTCATTTACTTTCAGTACATTATCAGCATGGGGCTTCCCTCTGCCCCCGTTCCCCCAAGAAAACCGGCTGCAGAAATCGCCAGCGTGGAGGATGCTGCTTGTCGCTTGAGCCAAGGCAGGGACGTGGCCAGCCATCCTGGTCCTCTTTGGGATGCGCTTTCTGCTCTTTCCTCAGTCGCCGAGAGAGATTTAGGGTAGTGCAAGGACCTTTCAAACACCACAAAGAGCAACCGAAGCGGGGAAGCAGCGCGGATGCGATGGGAGCCAGCAACCAGCTCTTCCAGCCCCGCATCTTCTCGCTTTGCCCATCATTTCTTGGTGCTTGCCTGTAAGCAGGCGGGACCCCCGGGGTAGCTACTGCCTTCTCAGTTGTGCTTTGCCCTATTTGAGATCAATTTTCCACGTAAGCAGATCCCATGTTTCAGGTTATTTGTGGCCCTGGGTGCCAGGATCTGCCAGGCTGGCAGCTCCCCGGGGCCGGGGCACCTCTGCGGCATCGCCTCTGAAACACCATCAGGAGTCCAAATCTCTCCCGCCCTGCAAGAGACACCATGCCTCAGTTTCCCAGCAGGAAAATCAGAATGAAAGGAGACTCCCTTCTTCTTAAATGCTCAGTGGCTGCTCAGACAAACTAATACAATTAAGGAGGGGTTGCGAGGGCTGATTTGATTGCACAGGGCTCTGGAAATTTTAAGTTTTACAGAATATGACATGAAGATGGCAGCTGTAGCCTCTGTGTTGCACGCAGCCTCTCTAATGCAGCCCTGCTAACGCAGAGCCAGGAAGATTAAATCTGCGCGAGGTGGGTGAGTGCGGGGGACGCGGTGCTCGGGGCTCTGCCTGGCTGCAGACGGGGCTGGGGCTACGCGGGGTGCCCCCGTCCCTCCCCATGTCCCCAGCCTGCCCCTAACAACAAGCCAGATGGCTTTTGCTAGCAGAAAATAGCTAAATTAACCTGCAAAGACAGCCCCTGGGGTTTTTTATTTCTTTAAACCATCCTAATGGACACCCAGAAGATCCAGGGAGGCTAGGTGGGAGCCCAGCCCCGGGAAGCTCTCTGGTCTCCAAGGGCAGAGTGATTTTTGCCCAGGCAGCCTCTGCCAGATGCCTCTGCCCCAGGACCACACAGCTGGCAGGTAAACCACAGCTCACCACATCTAGGACTCCAAGCGATGGAAAAGCCAGCCTGTCGCCTGGTCATCTGTTCCAACCACTAATGGCCATTCACCATTTATAAAAACAGGGACAGAAAAGGCCTTAAATTCATCCGAGAGAGACACATCTGTGCCGGCACGGCACTGATGGTCTCAGTGGTCCCTTCCACCCTGGCATCTCTCCCCCAGCCCACCCTTTGCCCAGCAGATGGCTGGTACTGGCAGCGCTGCCCCCCCGCCCCATGCCATGCTCCAGGGCTGAGCCCGATGAGCCCCGACCTTCCCCAGACACCTCCCAATGCCACCAGCACCTCAAAACCTTCATGGCCTCTCCTCCATCCTCTGCAGCCTCTCAAGCCTAGCTCCCAAGGGAGCTGCTCACCCCTTAAGGATCTTCCCGCAGATGAATTTCCCAGTCCATGATCCACATTGCTCCATCTGCAGCCTACCGCAGAAGGGCTGAACCGGGAATAGCTCTGTGCCATAATCCTGGAGACCACTTTTCTGCAGAGGGTACAAGGCTGTAGCATTTCAGGAGTGGGAGAAAACTGGAGCCAGGGGCCCCCACCCACGGGTGCAGGAGCAGACACCAGCTCTTTCCTTTCCCCTCTTTATTACACCTCAACCTTTACTGTGATTTGCATCCCCCAGGTGCTGCCGAAGGACGCTCTCAGCCTCAAAGCCTTCACTCCTACATCAGGCTGGCACAGGGGCGGACCCAGGTCGCCCACTGAGCTTCTGGCTTTGCTGACCAAACAGCATCTTTTGGGCAAAGTTTCTAGGAGTTTGGCTGCCGAGCGCCGTGACCGTTCCACCCCATCCTCGCCGTGTCCTCAAGGACCTCTGGATTTCAGCTCTCGCCCCTTTGGTCTCTGAGTCATGCACACCAGCTGCACAAAATGTCACAGTAGCTGCAGCCAAACATGCCCGGGGGCCGTGTCGGTGCCCACGCTGTCACATCAACCGACTGTTCAAAGGGATGGAGCGCGGAGGCACGACGGTTACAGCTAATTCCCCATCCTCCAGCTTATTCACCAGGCTCAAATGTGCCAAGAGCAGATTCTGCTCCCGGGGACTTCGCAGGGAACACCCAAATACATTTCAAACCAGAGCACAATCGGCTGTGATTTCCCAAAGCCCTCTGTGGTGGCTGCGCTCTTTTTCCATTGAAGCTAATGAGAAAAAAAACAATCAGAAAGAGACAAACAACCCCTCCCACCGGCTTCAAAGCCAGACGGGCTCGGGAAATGCTGAAAGCTTTTAGAAATCTCACCCGCCACCAAGGTTTGCCACGGCAAACGGGTCCAGGATGTGGCTGCTGGGGCTAAAGGCACTGATGGCCGCTGCCAAGCAGCATTTGTGGGTTTAATCAAATGCCAGTTTCATACATGTAAAAACAAGGAGCTGTTTGTGAGCTGTGCTCCTTTTGGTCTCTGATGGGAGAATAACGCTTCCCGTATTTAAACCGTTACCTTTTTCCAAGATCAAGAGGGCCTTGAAAGCATCTCCGCTTTCTCACATCACGATCCATGCAGGGGCAGATCCCCCCCAAACCCTCTTCCCGGGTACCCTTAATCAAAGTTACCAGCCAGACCTACCCCGCGGTCCAGTCCCCCGCGGGAGGACGGGAGCGAGCTTGGCCCTGTGGCTCCAGGCTCCGGCTGATGGAGGCTGGATCCATCGGGCACAGCCGGGCAGGACCTTCCCAGTGCCATGCAGATGCTGCAGCCTGGCAAAGCAGCCAGCAATGGGCACGGACCGATGTCCTGCCCAAAGGGAGCAGGAGGAGAAAGACCATCGTGGGAAGCGAGCCACCATCCATCAGCGTGGTCCCCCTGGTCTTTGCCTCCTCATCCCCCTGCTCCAGGTCACATCACATCGCCTCGGTGGGTCCCAGGCCCTCAGTGCCCCTTGGACACGCTTCCCTCCGTGCCTCGGGAACGTCACCGATACTTTCAGTGCTTTGGAAATGGCTGGGGATCATTTATAACGACGGGAACGAAATGAGCAACTATTTCAAAGAAAATGGGGAACTAAACAATTGCCAACATGGAATAGATCTTGTGCCAGACTAATTTTATTGCATGTTTTTGAGCAGGAAAATAAGAAAGTAGATGAAGAAAAGGCAAGGCACGGCAGAGAAGATTTATTCAGGCTTCAGCCTGACTTTTCAGAAGAGGCTAGTAAGCAAAATTCAGAGTGTAGGCATCCACCCCAGGATAACTACCTAGACTGAAAGCTAGTCAGCAAGCAGGAGGCAGTTAAAAATCAATGGCAACAAATCATCGAGAGGAAATTATCAACTGAAATATCCCTCTGTTCAGCTTTGGGA